TGATTTACAGCATCCGCAGTTCTTTTGGTTTTTATTAAGTGATAATGAGAGCTGAGAGTAGGAGAGAATGGGTAGACTGTGCTGAAAGCAACCCATGTAATGTGATAATAGGCCTGAAAACGGGTGAAAATGGGTCAGCTGTGCTAAACGCAACCTATGTCATGACAGAGATAGTAACAACTGCCGATGCTGAAGTCAGAGATAACAGTGTGGAGTTGGAGGAACACAGGCGCATTTCTGAAGAAGGGTCCTGACCCAAAATGTCAACTTTCCTGCTCCTCTGATGCTGCCTGACCTGTTGCATTCCTCCAGCTCCACTCTGTGTTATCTCTATGTCATGACAGCACCAGGGCGTGCTGTGAGTAAAAACATAGAAGGAAGGAATCAAGTGATCAAGTCATGGAAATTGATGTTGAGTGCCAATCCCTACAGGGTCACCAACTGGAAAATGAGATGTTGTTCTTCAAGCTTGTGCTAGATGCACAAAAGCTTGGAAGTCAGCACGAAGATTCAATGGGGAAGGGAGACAGTCTAAAGCCTTCCTGCCATAGTTTTCCCTGGCATGCCTAAGCTTCTGTTTACTTTTGTGGGTTTTATTTACTTTAGTGGGGTGCTCATCAAAGGCTTTGGCCTTTTGCTCTTTGGTGTTGGAAGCTTTTCAGTGGGTGAGTTTTCCTTTGGCAAGACTTCAATGCTTGACATAGGCAACTTAGAGAAGTGATGGCTACAACCAATACTGAACGAAACCGGGGCATGTAACATTATTAGGGTGACAGTGACTTTCAATAAGATAGACCTTTTGGATCCCTGTGGATTCAGAGTTGTGATAGATACATTAATTTGACCATAAAGAATGTCATGGCATGCAGGAAATTTCTCACCATGTTCATGGAGAAGATAAACTTGCTACAGCTGAGAAACCTTACAGTGAAGCCATTGTTTTCTCTGCAAAACCGGTGGTGACCTTGCATCTCTATGACTTCCAATTTCCTATTGTTGCTGTGCTCACCTTCCTCACCAAGTATGTCAACAAGTTTTGGAATGTCACTGAGATCATGGACGCCTTCAGGATTTGAACCAGCAAACAACATATTACAGTAACTCTGAAAGTGGATGGTAAGACACGAATGCTTCACCCTTCCTTTAGCTGCGACATGGGGGCAATCCAGGGCTACCTAACCTACACAGAACAGCATACAGTTTTTCATTCCCATGGCCAAGCTGCGTAAATCACAGAGTTGTTACAGCACAGGGGGTCATTCAGTCCATTTTGGGCACATATGTTATCCAGGTGAATAATTCACTTACAGTCATTCCCAGGTGTTCTCTTTGTAAACCTGCCCATTATTCCTATTCAGATAACAATCTAATTCCCTTTTGAATGTTTCGACTGAAACTGCCTTCACCACACTTTCCAACAGTGTGATTCACGCGTAAACAAATTTTTATGGTTTTAGCAAAGATTTGTAGCTCAGGTTGTGGGTAAAGTTGCTGACTTGCTTGCTGAGCTGGTTTATTTTTGTTCTGATGTTTCATCACCATGCCAGCTAGCATCATCAGTGAGGCCTCCGATAAAGTGATGTTGTTCTACTCCATTTGGAATGTATACTGTCTGATCTGTTATGGTGAGTTGTGCCATTTCCGGTTTTGTTCTGTATGGGTTTGTATATGGGGTCCAATTCTATATGTTTGTTGATTGCGTTATAGGTTGAGAACCATGCCTCTCGGAATTCCTGTGTGTGTCTATGCTTGGCTAGGGCTACTATGGTTACATTGTCTCATTTAAACTAATAGCCTTCATTATCAAGTGTACTGATATTAAGGAAAGTTCATCATGTCATTTTGCTACTAGCTGATGTTCGTGTATTCTAATGGCTAGTTTTCTTCCTGTCTGTCTGATGTAATGTTTGTGGCAGTCGTTTCATGGTATTTTGTAAAGTATGTTGGTTCTGCATGTTGTGGAAATGGGTCTTTAATCCTTGTGAGTGTTTGTCATAGAGTGGCTGTGGGTTTGTATGCTACCATGATTCCTAGTGGTCATAGGAATCTCGTTGTCAGTTCTGATATGCTTTTGATGTAGGGCAGTGTGGCAGGGCATACTGTGTCCTTTTGTTGTTGTCTATTTAGTAGGCACCTACGGATGAAATTGTGGGGATATCCGTTCATAATGAAGATTTTGTATAGGTGCTGTTCCTCTTTCCTGCGTAGTTCTGGCGTGTTTCAGTGAGTGGTGGCCCATTTAAATAGTGTCCTAATACAGCTTTGTTTGTGGTCGTTGGTGTAGTTGCTGTGGAAGTTGAGGATTTGGTCAGTGTGGGTTGCTTTCCTATATACTGAGTTTTGGAACTCCCCGTTGGTCATACATTCAACCTTGACATCCTGAAACGGAAGTTGATTGTTGTTTTCTTCTTCTCTCGTGAATTTAATCCCAGCGAATACGTTGTTAATGAGGTGGTGGGTCTCTTCAGTTTGTTGCGTTTAATAATGAAAAATGTGTCATCCACGTACCGGATCCACAGTTTAGGTTGAATGTGGGGGAGGGTAGTGTGTCCTAGTCTTTGCATGACCGCCTCTGCAATGAGTCTTGAGATGGGTGACCCCATGGGTGTGCCATCGATCTGTTTGTATACTTGACTATTAAAGAATGTGTATGGTGAGGCACAAGTCTACTGGTTTGAGTATGTTGCCATTGCTGAAGGAGCTGTTGGTCTGCGTCCCTGCTTCCTCTAGTAATGTGGCCAGTGTTTCTTTGGCTAGTGGGATGTATGTTGATGTGAATAAAGCCGTGACATCAAAGGATACCATAATGTCATCGTCACTGATTTTTATGTTCTTGAGGATAATGAGGAATTCTTGGGTTGAGTGGATTGAATGGGGTGATCTGTCAACTAGGCGTTTCAGTCCCTGTTGTAGGTCCTTGGCCAGTTTGTGTGAAGGTGTGCCAGGTAGAGAAACAATGTGTCTGAAGGGGATAACAACGTGTAGAGCTGGATGAACACAGCAGGCCAAGCAGCATCA